ACAGAATAATATCTTTTGCCTCGTGAGGTCATTCAGCTTCCAGAGATCCATTTCTGCGAGCGACCGCTGCATAATTTGCAATTTACTTTGTTTACGCAGTGGTTTGTCATACTGTAGGACACGGAAGATGATGAGTAGTCTAACAGACAAACTCTTCCTTTAACATAGATAAGAAACTTAATACTATGACCAGCACGCTTTCATTGCTCTTTTTTGTACAAATATACAGTTGTTCCGAAAATGTCTGAACGGGCCGGTTTGTTGGTTTGGCTGGTTTCGCTGTGCATATCAAGTCAGTATCCAACGGAAACCGCCTCAAAATGTAAGTTGCTGATCTGTCCAGACATGACAGTTTATACGTCTAGGATATCAGCGACTGGGTGACATAACATAGTGAGATAATTAATGGTTGTGTGCCTACATTAGCTTATAGAGTTGTACCCATAAAGGCACTGCACAAAAGACGTTGCAATGCAAAATTGTGTTTACGCGCAGCGTCCCAGGTGACGGTGTGATCTGGATATGGGAATCTTGTTTTTGTCGCCACTGCATCACAACCCTGTTTCTAGACACCACACTGTCCTACTTTGTTTCAGCTTTTTCCTGCCTGAAGGGGAACTGGTTCGGAAGCTAATTTAAGGAGTTTCTTGGAATTGTTTTGAGCTTACCCATAAAACTAGGTAGCTTTTGCCCAAGTCATGACCTACTTCTGACCAAATGAGGTTTCAGGTTGTTTTTTGAGGCTGTTGGGCTCACTCAACACTTCCACACAGGAAGTGACACCCAACCATTGAATCATTCGGAGTCTTTGCATGATTTTGTCGGCTTTTGGCACAGTGGGGTCGTTTTCGATGCATCTGATAACTTCTAGACAGTTGTTTGACCTGAATGTCAGTTGGGTACCGGTAACGTACCAATTACCAGAACTCAGATATATGTGCTTGGGTAAGACGGAAACGTCGAAGTTTTGTTACTTTTAGGAGAGTTCTTGATGTCAAGACGTGTCGTGCAATATGAGCAAATAAATAGGTAAAAACTCTGCCTGAACGGATGAATTATTGATTAAGCTTAAAGCATTCACCCTGAATGACATGCATTGTGGCAAATTGTGTAAGAACTGGTGATAACTCAGATTTTCACATCAAATGAAGCATAGTGGTAACTGCTACATAAACTGTTTGTGATCTTAATCAGTGTCTGAAAGAATACTGAGGACTTACCAGGCTCTGTCCCCTCATTCAAGACTATAATTACTTACAAACCTATAACGTGCTGCATTCAATAGTGGCATATGTTTGGATGCTAAGTACATTTAGGCCGTTGCTCTTCTGGATCCGCCTGAAACAACTGTTACAATCAAGCGGGATTAACTAGTAAAGGGTTCCTTTAGAAAAGAAAAGGATTTCTGCAACGTACTGGTTTGAATGTCTTAAAAAACAAATACTTCAATTACGTGAAACTTGGAAAAGAATACATACAAGCTACGTCTTTCAAACACGTTTACAACCATGATTATGTGGTTTTCTATGCCGTACATGGCTATCAACGTGCGCGTTTACTAACCAGCCAAGACATGCTTCAAACGAATGTAGCTCGCCGTTTGCTCCATTAAGGCTGGGAAAAATGAATGTACTTTGTTAAGGCAGTCTTTTGGAATCAGCCTCAGCAGACGGTGTAGCAGTCAGTCAAATAGACCAGGTGATCTTGAGCTGCGTGCTTCATTCCTGCGTAATTACGTGAGAATCTCTACAAAGCTGTAGGGCCCACGGATGATCAAACAACATAGTTTTACGAAGTTCCGGAGATCCACAGGTTTACTATGTCTTGTCACGCTCTCTTGTGCACAAGGATACCGTGAGTCTACCGAACAAATTAAACCTTATTTATAACTACGAAGCAAAGAGTTCAAAAGATTCGTTCCAGTTTACCTGCAGAACAAAGGAGTTCAATGCTTTCTGCTTTTTTATTTACCTTCTCGAGGCTGCCGACTACCTCCATGACCTATATCGGTCCTATTCTTAAATATAATCCCAGGAGATTACATTACGCTGTGTGCATAAAATGTTCGGTTTGAGGGAGTGGGTACAGATGGACTGATGAACAGGAAACGGGACATAGAACCCCTTGTATCAATCTTAGAATATATTTTAATTGTGCAACTAAAGAAGAAATCTAAGACTCACCCGAAAACTGCCCTGCTCTACAAAGAAAACCGAATGACCTTGTGTTAGTTTTCAAAAACAAAATCAGGCATCCCTTGGGATTTTTTTTCGATTTCATCTGGTTGCGTGCGTATATGAAACAGAAGAATGATTGGCTTTTTTATACGTGCTGATAAGAACGAATGCTGAGGGTTTTGGTCGTTAGTTTGTTTGCTGAGCTGGGCAATTTGATTGCAAACGTTTCATCACCAATCGAGGTGACATCATCAGTGCGTTATTGGGGAGCGTAGTTGTGCGTAGCGATACCCTCCAGAGCTAAGGGCTTTATACATAGATCGATCAATGAAAAATTAAAATGCACTAAGTGGTACCTCATATCTGATCAGGACATCATATCGTCGATTAAAATTATCGTTCTGCCAGAGGAGCTGAAATCGCTGCAAGGACCTTGGCAACAAAACAATACCTGAAAACAAGTGCACGATACAACTTCTAATGTCACTGAAGTTCAAATCGCCTAAATGGTCACCTATCGGTCGCGGCCTTTCAGGGACGATATGCTCAAAATATAGCAACAGCAAGACTGTAGGGCGCTCAGTAAAATAGGTCACGCAGCTCAAATTATAATGCATCCGTGCCAACAAATCCTATTACCTTCAGTACAGAAAGCTGTTCTACCTGTTTTTTCTGGATTTCAATACTTTGAAAATGCAAATGGGCTGCTGAGCTATCCGACTGATACGGACAGAGAAGTAACAAAACCGGTTTTGGAACTAGTATAAGCAGGCTGACAAGCATAACCTAAACAAAGCACATGGAACAATAGTACACTACGGGTGGTCATCATCACCTTCTAGGGTATAACATCATTGTTTGACACTAACTCTTCATTGACGTACAATTGCAGTTTATTGGGAAGCGTTACTGTCAAGAAGAGAATAAAGGTTGATGGGGATGCTAGCCTACCATAAACAGTCCGAGAAGCATCCATCTCTGGGCAGTCACTCAGACAATCTCGATGGAAACCGAGGGCAGGAAAGCCACTGACATCGATCACCGATCATATATTTCAGCGTTTCCAACCATTCAGAAGGTGGACAGAGAGGGTAATATCATCTACGAACATATTTGGCATGGACAAGGTGTCACATGAAAACACAGAATGGCACAAAAACACAAGTATCACGCGTCAGCCTAACTCCCCGCTACTCACGGTTTACCTGATGAGTTTGCGGTAAATTTCAACTGGGACGAACCGACAAACTGTTAGTGTCAGGACTCGGAAATATTTCGATTTCTGGTTGGTGAATGAGGAAACTAGATGCAAAACTGAAGAAACTTTTCTGTCATCAGGTTACTATGCATGCTATCGGAAATGGCAGCTTTGTTGATGTCCGCTAAATGTCCTGCGTTCTATTTCAATGTAGTGGATCGCTAATAGCGAAGTTTTTCATTGCTCGTCTGGTCACTCTATAAAGTTTACTATCTTGCGGTCAAAACTATCTAACAGTTCTACCGCCTCTATTCTGACTTATGTGTGAGTTTTGCTGCATTCTTTGGTTCCTGTTTCGGGCATTTCTAAGTTTTACCGCCAAGCAAACTGTGTGAAATAGACCCATATAAATATATGCATATACGTTCTTTTTGCCTTATTCGAACGGACGGTAACATTGTCTAAGCATTCCCTGTATTTTCGTAAAACCGAGCCATGCAAAATGGGCCAGATTGCACTGCAGCAGACAGTCCAGTGATGGGAAACATTTAACCAACTGGGTGGAAATCTCTCGCTGGGTCAAAATGAGGTAGGTGTTACTGGTCCTAGGTTAAACATTTATTGGTCAGAATGTTGGGAGATCACAAATTATAGGCAGAATTCTGCGTTGGTTCTTTTGGCGTTCCCGTGCAGAATGCTGTATTTACCGCCGATAGGTCACAGAAAATTTATCCGGTTTAAACATCATAATCACTATCAGCTATACAATGCATATAAATGGTTTGATGGTCAAAGCTTCCCACCCTTCAAATGGTTTTTTCAGCAAATCACTCTCATTTGCGTCCTCGCTGAGTGATAAAATAGGAAAGTTTAGACACTGGTTTGCTCCGACGGTAAAGTAGCGGTGGTAGTCATCTAATCATTGCTTTTATTTGTGTTGATGTACCCACGCCAGCCAACTTTAATTAAGTGGGGTAGAACACGCGTAATGTAATGAAAGAAGGGTTTGGTGCGAAACACACTGAGAAAATCTACTCCAAGAAAATGCCCCACAGCTCTAACTAACTCACATTTGTTAATAGTAGAGTCAGAAAAAAAGGGAGATTACTATAACTACACTCGGGAGACGAAGATACATATAATTTCATTAAAACCTATGTTTCTAAGCCTTCATGGGAGTAATATCAAATGGTCTGCGTTGGCGGTTCCTTGAATGCTCAACTCGACTCTTAATGTAATTTTCTGTAATATTTCAAAATGTGCTAGTAACGAAACTCAAAATATGAAGTATCTGGCCGTGATGATTAGGTAAAAGGCACCGATAAGATTTTGAAGGGCTGGAATTGTGGTATTTAGTATACCACGACGACAGTTCCTGGTTAGTTTAGCATCCCTCAAGAAGTGTGAAGCAAACAGTGTCCACCACATTTTCCTTGACTTACGTTTGCTTGAGTGACTGGTGAGTAAAGTGGTCAAAGGTTGGACCAGTTGAACCAATGAACCACTGAAACGAACCTGGTTTATCAGATATCGACATAAACATGCAACACGAGGTCCATTGTCTCATGTTACTTTTTTCTACAGATCTTTACTTTCGAACCGGGCGTGCAGCCCCGTACAACACGATGAGAAGACTGTGTCTTGACTATTCTGGAATTCCAGCAAATCCGTCAGCTGAAGATCTGGTAGGACGAGTATAATTTTATCCATACCTATGCGTATGTGTTGATAGTTCACTCCACACAATTCAGTTGATGCACTCAAAACAACCAATAGACACTCGACTAAATCATTCAGTTCCTATGTGATATGTCTGTGGGACAAGAATAAGACTATTCTCACTTATTAAACGTTCCTCATTCAGTGGCATCCTAAGTTTTCCTTGAAGCCCCTCTCCTCCTCTGCACAATGGGTACGTGCCTGATTTCCGCCATGCCCACCGGTCCACAACTGGTACCACCGAAAAAGCTTGCGATGTTGCCTAAGCCATTTGTTTCGAACATTGCTCCTGGCACTCCATTTGCAGACTCGTCGATTGCATGGGTAAACTATGAAGGACAGATAAGAACAACACGAACCATTTCATGAGGTATCTCAAAACTACCCTACCCGAACGATAGTACCTGAGTTAGGTTTCATGATAAGCCCGAATGTTTCCCTGAACGATCGCTTTTGAGTTGCACGTCATCTATCGCCCTCAAGAGTTTCAAGCGGTGTAGCAAACCTTATCAAAAAACACTGACGGGGACTACTTATTCTGTAACCAAAACAGATGAGTTCCTCTTGGACTATGCCAAAATATATTGTCAAACGTTTTAACTAAACTGGTGAAAATTAACATCGAAGCAGACGACATTTTGCTTAAGAAGTCGTTGTTTTTTATAGTCCTGCAGAATAGGTACACCTGGATTTGACAATCAGTTATACTGGGCCATATTTCCAGGGGAAAAACTGCCTTTAAGTTGTGCAACACGTTGCTAATGGTGTTCTTAGTATTTTTGCCTCGTTTGTCACAATTCTGAGTTAGTCGCCGGTAAGTTGTATCATTCGGTCTAAACCTCCAGTAAGCTGATTCTGATGCAGCTTCCCAAGTATGAAGCTCGGCTTATGATTTCTGCAGAACTCAACTAAACGTGTGACAGGGAAATCTCGAGGTCAGCTCGAAATAGCCTCTTTCAAGCAAACATGAAAATGGCCTCATCTGGGCAAGGCTTTGTCGAGGAAGCAAGCAGTCTTCTCAAATGTTTGAATTTGACCAGTCAGGATGTATTGGGCTTCGAAATCACGAAGACCAAGCGGATAAAACTTCAGGTTCACTTGTCACAGGTCAACCAGTGTTCAAGGTTAGCCCGAAGTCTTAGACAAAACACAATTTTTATGAAAAAAGCGACCTGCACATTCCAGTGTGCCTCTCGGGTTTTGACCAAGTTAAGATAGTGCGTTTTCCAGTGACTTGCAGACGTTCAATTTTTAAGGACATCCTTCTGGTCAAGATTTACGTCAGATCCCTTTGATCATAACTATGCGACTATCAGTGGTTCTAAGGCAGGCCATTATTATAAGGTGGGTTGAATTCCTTTTGCAGCGGACAGCTCCGGTGATGACGCAAGCGGCAATTTCTTGTTTTTAACTCTGTCTATTATCTCACCCAAAGCAACACAAGCACTCATTACACATGCCTGTTGTCAGGGTGACTACTAAGTGCATTTCAATGTCGTCTTGGTTACTGTAACCATCAATAAGATGAATGATCATACCTGCGCGTCACCGCAGTAGCCATTCAAATACTCTTGGGAACATCAATGCCAAGGAACCCACCAGAATTGCTTTATTTACTTGTACAGGAATCAAAGTTAGTTATGAAGTAATTCATGAATAAATCTAACGGACTCCACTACTAAAATGACTCTGTTAAGCGGATGGTCCTATTTTTCCCGGTACCCATACCAAATTAATTTGCGATGCCTGGAAAGGAGAGATACACTATGATATACAGGTCGGCTTATTGACCAGGCCTGCCGCTTGCTGAAGCCTGCGGAATGTTTTGGACGATCGTGAATGTCGAATTTCTGTCTTGACAACTGGGCGCAGTATCCCGGAAAACACTCAAACCGACCTTCACAAGGTGCCAATCTTACACATGCGAACGATGAGAAATAACATAACAATCTCAGGAAATCTTTTGTTAAATCAAGGGTCACACTGCCTAAATTGAAGAAAATGAACGCCCAACTTGCCTTTTTCCAAACTGAAGGCCTGAATGTAGTACGTATGCTAACGAGATCCTAATCGTCTGGGAAGGGGAGGACTTAAAAAGGTTCAACGCGAGCATCATTCTTTTTTCAAGAAGGACGTAAGCTTACCACGAGATAGCCACCACGATAACGAAAAATCATTCGATAAACCCAAATTGTTGGCCCTCACATGCCACCACTTAGTTCAACAGCGGAAGCCAACTTTTAAGGGAAACCGAAAACTTTGCCAAAACTACGGCTATGTCAGCAGTATATGCATATTTAGAAGGAAACTGATGATCTGGTAGGCTAAACATCAGCCAACAATTTACTCCAGCGTTTCAACATTACTTTTTACGCAGTCGTTTAAATCACCCTATGTGGGTAGTTTGTTCATCACAGGCTTCCAATTAGGGGCAATAATGTTTTGCTAGCGCCAAACGTTCGTTCAAGAAACTAGATGGAATCTACAACTAAGGTAAACTCAAATCCTTAAGTGACCATGTGAGTTGTAAAGGGAACGAATCCTCTTCTGACTGGGTATTTGCATGAACGGGCGTTAGGTAGTTCTTGAATCTCTTAAATCCAAGTGTTGTTGAGACTTTGGAAGAGAGCAATAAGATGCATTTCGAACTTTTAAATTGCAAACTCAATCTGCAAGAATGGGACGCGAATATCAAAACGTCCTAGACAGTCAATATGCTAGGGAACTTCGAAAACTCTCCTCAAATACGAAACACTGCATCCTTCACCTGGCACTCATGAACGCTGCTGTACAGTCAGAAAGCACCCTACATTTTTGGCCTGTTTTTATAGTTGTGCCGGAATGACAGTTTATAGTGCTTATGACCGATCGGTAATTTATTATGGTCCGGAAGGCTCATTTGTACCTGAACGGGTATATGTGTCTTCAATATTCAACTGTCAATGTCTTTGCTTCTGTCCTGCAATACGATGATACGCGAGCTTATACCCTGTTGAGGATTGTCAATGTGCTTACTTAGTTTTGCTCCTCAGAATGTCAAGAGAGCACTGGTATGTCAAACCACAGTGATTAAAAGTGAATGAGTTGGGGTTAGTTGACTACAAAAGGACAGAATTAATGAACAACTCACTAGCTACAGTACTGGATGATGTTAGCAGGTGACATCTACTGCATGAAGAGCTGGGCGATAACCTGTATCACTGACTGAAACCACTCTGTGCGGTATCATTTTACAGTCGATGGCAGTCGCATTTGATAAGATGGTTTACTTCACCTAGATGTCACTACTTCCGATTTTCATCCCTGACGATTCACTTTGGAGATCACTACATGTTACCTTATATCACTTTTCCCTTTCTTTTCGTCTGTACTGAACGAATGCTATGGAAGTATGGGTTGATTGAAGATTCAAAGTAAACAAAGCACATCGAACAAATGTCCACGTCGATCAAACTGAGTCAGTTATTGTAACCGAACAACAGACATTACAACTGGGTGTCTACTGTCACCGAACTGAATACTAAATGGACACTGGACACAGACGCTAGCTGGAGCCAATGGTGTCTCCATCAAAGCCAAGATGGAAAAGATGCTTTATAAAATTACCTCTGTTACCCTGTTATAGTCTGAGCCTCAATTTTAAAGTTGCCTGGCGATAAAAGTGATCGTATCCGAATAATTTTGAACCTGAGAAGCAAAAATCCCCAAACATATTTAGGCCCTTAACTTAACCATTCCTAGGTTCATACTTCTAGCTAATAATTGTACTCAACAGCTGGTTACTTTAACGCTTCATTCTAATCCTTAAGGTGATGCCGTTTGGGCTAGCTATATCCTTCCCAGGCAAGATTCATGGCTCTCTGATCTTTCTAACACACCCTAAATTCAAAAATGCTTCCAGTATTTTCTTCGGATGGAGTTTTTTCATTTCAACCGTCAAGTTAAGTTTGGCTCACCAGGATATTCCTCAAAATCTAATGATTTTTTATTTGTAAACGCGACTTGTTTCGATCTCATTTGTCCACACTCTCCCGGTACGCAGTCAGGTCTCACTTGGCTTTGTTCTGCGTATGGTAATTAATGTAAAGCAGAAGACAGTCAATTGAGTTTTCGTGAAATTACATCAGCTTAAATAATTATGTCAAAGTGTTTTTTGAAATCTGCTCTAGGCCAAATGTACGTGAATGATTCGGTGCGACATTCTACACGTTTCAGGTAAATTTTTCTGAAACGCCGCTACTGTAGAAACCATAGCGTTAGAAGCAAGCCAAATCGCGTGGCTGAAAGAATAGGTAAAATTATGTTCAGTCGCAATGATGCTTAACCTCTCGCAGGCAAACGTAAGAAGCACTGAACCCATATCGGACTTCCGCTAGCTCGCAGATTCTGAGCTGCATAGTGTGATGTTCTCAGGGATTGCAGTTAAATCCCTAAATTGGGTTCGGCATTCTCGACATGGGTCGACTATACTCTTCTGCTGACTGCTGTCAGTCTACTTCCATTGCCAATTTGGATGTCAGACATTTGAAGTTACGAGAAATTCTGTGTTTAGTGCTGCTTCGTCAAGTAGTCACAACTAATTTGGCAACAGTTCTACGTTACCTCCTCGAACTCAAGTCACCCATGGGGAAGGAACCTCATGATTCCTTTTTGAGTGACTTCTCATTGGGGGTATGCTACGATCCAAAATTGAATAACCAACTAATTGAATTTCAGAATAGTAGCGTAGGACTTTAAGGAGGTGGCGGCCTAACAAAGTGCTCAATAATCCGCGAATAAACTTGCACTATGTACTAGATGCACTTCATAACATACTTTTTGTTATCGATTAGAACAATTGTTAATTTTGTGAGACTAAAACGACTTTACTAGATGGACGAAACGCTAAGTAGCTTTCGATACTATGGTTTGTTTTCAATCAGTTGAAAAATATTTGCGGTCCGGTAAATCTACCAATTGTGCAGCAAATCTCTTTGAAGCGATGGTTTGCTTTTAATTCTGTTTCCGTCTATCTTCAGAAACCATACTCAGTTGAAACTTTGTTTGTTATCCTCAGTGTAAGTGATGTCCTACGTTGATTGATGGAAGGATGGCAGAAAGTGGGTCTGAAAACTTAGGTTTGCCCTGAGCCAATTAGTAGTTAACGATAGTGAATGGCCTGGGCGCAGCTAGTTTTAATAGTCCATATTGAAGGAAGTGCAAATAATAAAGAGGACACTGCTTCCGTAGGCGCACACGTAGGTGGTTGCACCTGTTAAGCCTATCGATTATTCTTAGTTGTCTCAAGAAAGAGAGTAAAATGAAAATGATAAAGAGAACGTGGTTCGCTCGTTAAAGCAGTCTGGTTTAAAATACACTCTCGTTAACGCCCTGATTCGGGATTTGCCGAATAAGATAGACTTTCAAATTCTTATCTAATATACTTGGAAATAACTTGGCTTGTGCAGTGCAGCCGAATTGAACTGAATCTCGCTACTCGAACACCCGAACACTTGATCAATCTGGGATAAGTGACAGGAAGGTTTTCGGCGTAGTGCTTTTGTCATTTCAATAGTTGGTCGACTGTCTGCAAGCAGGCCTTGAGCTCAACGAACTACAAGTAGGAAATCATTTCATTTGAACTGCATTTATCTCAGTTATATAGCTTAAATATTTGTTTATGAACACACAATTCGTTTTTCTATTACCAAAACATATCTAATAGACCCATCAGTTTCCAACACAAATGAAACAAACAGACAACATCTTCAAACTTGTTGGGTTTATTTGACTGCGCTTGTTCCTGACAGATGTGTGTTTCTGCTGACCTTATTTCGCTTTATTCTTATGTTGTTTTTGAGGACGAATATTTGGATGTGGTGAATGACCACCTTGTGTTTCTTGGAGTCAAGTACACCAAAGGAGAGGTCAACGCGGACCAACAGGACAAGGTGTATTTGTAAGTTAGAACATGATTACAAGATACTTCCATTAGGGTATACTGTGCATGATTTTTTTATCACTTGCTTTCACTACATACGTCTTCTCGAGTTCATAAAATTCATAGGATTAAGACATTCTAAGCGGGGTGAATTGTATTTGTCCTCGTCACTGCCTTCCTAAAGTTTTTGTTTGTTTTCTGGGTTAGGCAACTCACAAAGGTGTAGAGTTCTTTCCTACCTTTTACACCCAATTTTTGAAATCAAGTTGTGAAGACACTGAATTCATCTCAGAGCATTCGCATCCTTGTTTGAGTAAGGCGACCAATCGACCAACCAACCGCCTCTAAGCTGAGATCCGAAAACCTGCTTCATCGGTCGCCAAATATTCTGTCCATCGAACATAGAGTTAACCCCACAACAGCGCTAGGATTTGACTGCGCAACATCAACTCAAAATTGTTAGCTTTCAGTGAGACCACGTTGATCAATAAATCGTAAACCAGCATGTGCGAAAAGAAGATCCTGAAACGGGCTGTCAGCTTTATTTAGAATTAAGAACCAGATCTATCTGCAGCGCCATAGGATTGCTTCCGTTCCATTTTTTTCTATCTGTCTCTACTTATGATATGAAATTGATGGTTTTTTGTACTGAGGCTAAGAAGATCAAGGCGAGATGTTGACATCTCCCAGCCTGTAACTTTTCGCCGTATTATTCACTTCATATGACTGACTTAGAAGTACCCCCTCCCCAGAACATTAGTGCCAAAATCTTGGGCTAATCGTAATCACTTAACACTTATTGTCATATATCTTCTGGAATTTTGAGCCACTCAAATAAAGGATTAGCTTTATTGATGTAATCAAGATCTATTCAAGCAATATGGAATAAATTTTATGCTCATTGTGATGTTCAGTGCACACTTTATCGCACACGGTGTTCTATAGATAAAATTTCCCGCACGTTTTGTAATTTTCTTGTACACCCCTTACCATCTGTATTTGTGGATGGAATAATATTGTATGGCAGCTTCATGCCATGTAATCGTTGAATTTTTTGGCCAAAGTGTTTGCCACGTGTGATACCGTTACTACTGCTGTTCTCACATGCATCACCCCCATGCATCACTTTGTTTCAGCAAGTGGGCTCCATGGTCCGGATACACAAACACTTCTGATTCATGCGTAGCTCTGTTTCCAGGTTTATTTCTGGAATACGCACCTTGTGCTGCAAGTTTGAGTATCGTTTGCGCCATCGATGATCAGAAACTGTCTGAAAACCATATCCCTGAGGAACAGCAAATACCCGAAAATTTTGTAACTGCTGGTGATACAAATATAAGTGGTTACGAATAAGTTGTGTAAAATTTCGCAAGCTATACCAATCTACGTTACAAATGTTTGAGAGTATAAAAAGTGTGTGCACTAAACCAACTACAAAACCGTATATCCCACTTTAAGTTACACGTAGTAGGACCTGTAATACGTGTGTATGAGATGATGTTGGTTTAAAATTTAGCATGTCCTGAAACAGTGAAAATTCAATTTTGTCTGCATGGCCAACCGCAAAAGAATGAAGCCATTTCCTCTAAATGAACAAGAAAATCTTTGATTCAAAGCCCCAGGTTGTTTTTAAGAACGATTTTTCGGGGGTCCAGAAAAAATTATTTGCACTTAAAGCATACTCTCGACATTACTGAATGTGAAACAATAATTCATTTTTTCTACAATGAAAGCACAAGAACACGACGAGAAGGTTGTCTATCTCTGACAATAAAGGATGTACTGGAAAAACAATTGTCCGTCGACATAACGAGATCAAACAGGATCAAACTGGTTTTTGTTCCTATCACATCTACCGAGAGTAATCCATCGAGTCTAAAACTGATTCAATGATGTCATTTTATGTGCTGCTTAAGATTTTGTTCTCCTAAGGCATATTGTTTTACTGAGCAGATTGAGGGTTCTTAACAATCCGAGAAATGTATAATCGAAGCGTTTTACTCGTAAAGCTAGATTGACTTTGTTATTGATCTGGCGACTGCTGATCTGGCTGCTGGACCCAGCAATTAGCCTTCAGTCGCTTTGTTCTCAAACGAGCAGACATCATCAATGCCGGTGTCGTGCATGCCTCCTCTGTTCGTGACACAATGTACACAAGATAAATACCAAGCTAAGTGAACGAATCAACGACCGTTGGATCAACAACAACAAAAGAACGCACCCTAGCTACAAATATTTCGACACGTTCCAAGTTGGTTTGAACGTTTCTTTTCTTAAATCTGGGTATCTAGTGAGGGTAACTAATAGGACCGATCGGGGTTGAGAGAAAAAAATTCTCATGTCTTGCTCTTCAGTAACCAGGAGGAACTGTTTTTTATGGTGTTAGAATAACTTCAGTTATCAAACTAGATAGAAGTCAGCCTGTCGGAAACCTGACTAGATGTACTGGTGTATACTGAGATACCACATAATTCTCTGATAAAGAGCCTCGCAGGTTTTAATGGCTACCTTCGGCTTATTTGGCGATAATCTTCCAAACACGACCTCGGTTGTTGATCTTGTGGCATTTGGTGTGTTCTACAAACTTGTCTCGCTTACGAAATGGACAACTTAGCATCAATGAGCAGGTCGTAAAATCCTAAGTGGTGCACTAATACATTGCTTTACTTAATATTTTCGCTAGTCGCGACGAGCTGACCATGGAGAGGGGTGTTTGAATAGGAAAACATTTTCGCCTTTCGCAGTTCCAAAAGTTACCTTTTCTTTTGTCTCACGGGAGCGTTAGAGGGTTCAAACTTGTTCAGACAGCAGGATTTAGCAACACAAAGGTACGAACAACTTCAGCCCCAAAAATTAGTTTTATAGCTGCCCTGGAAAAGGAATGAAGTGTCAGTAAAATTGAAGCAGAGTTATCGTAAGACGCACTGATCAGGACGCACTGTCTAAATCCACGTAGACAAGACGACATCACATGGTGGTTCAGTAATTTTCCCCAGCTTAGTTTTCACTTCTTGATATACTTAAGTCTCTAGTATCAAATAACGTTCTTACAGCGTGTGGTTTGGGTTGTCTTGATCCGACTGAATAATTCACATATAACCAGAAATCGGTCCCCTCCATCCAAGAAATCCCTTCAATGAGAATAAATAGTCCGGCTTCAGCCATCTGAGTACATACTTGATTGAGATTTTGATGTCTAGCCGGCACCACCAAGCACATAGTTTGTTTTAGTCGCGACGTGCTTGGGATACCACGTTAGAGGTTCTATCTGCTGATTTTCTATTTAGTCCCTAAATTCGGCAGTCTGAGAAACCCAGTCGGTTTGTCTCTATTGCTACGGTGTATCATATTTCAAGGCCTGTAGTAAGCAATAAATGCGCCTTAATTGAATAATCGCTGCTAGATACATTGTCAAAGCACCAGTGGAGGATAATAAAGCGGGTAAGTGTAAACTTTACTGCAAAACAGGAAGGGCAAATATGAAAGTTATGCTACATAGCCTCACTTGAATCAGCTCACCAAAGGAGACACCAATATGGAATGTCTGTTCCCTGCAACAGAAGTAAAATTTTCACCACACCGGTTACAGCCCATAGTATACAGCTCAGCGTAATGTCAGTCCGGATGATACTGGCAGTGTGAAGTGAAGATTTGATCTTGTCCCTCGGTACACTAAGTCTGTTCAGCATAGATCAAAGACAAAATGAGAAAACGAGCATCTAATTATACTTTTCTAGCAGAGTTATGGGTAGATATATGAACCAAGGAGCAGAATAGACTCTGTGAGTAATGCTTATTATCTACTGAGTTGTAAACTGTCTCTCTAACTGTATCTCTAACGCGAGGAACTAATAAGTTGACAAATTGGTAACATCTTCGGGGTTTGCGTGCTCAGTACACCAACCAGCAGCACTGCTAGGAAGCCAGTTTCTAAGGCCACTGAACAGATGAGCCACTGATAAAGGCAACCAAGGTCAAGATATTCTGATATTTGTTAAGTTCGCTCTTCATAAGCGGATTTTATTGAAGGCCAAACATTCAGTGATTTGTGATAGGGAGCAGTGCACTGTGGATTTAAGCGGGCAATACAATAAGACAAGTTACTGCTATCGATTTGATTGCAGATGGTGAACAACTTGCTTGGTGCCTTCTGAAAGTACGCTTTTGAAATGAAACCTAACAAGTCATGATAATATGAAGGTCATTAATTGTGTTAAATCACCAAGTAGGACAGCCCTCAGTGAAGTCTCCTGTTTGAATGAGTTTTAATATCCCACGTGAAAGGTTTCGACTTACGAGCGACATTCTTAGGAATAGTATAACTGACAGGATATGTGTGTGGAGTTATTTTTAGACAAGAAGCTAGTTTTCAATTTACAACATTCAGCAGTTGTACGGGAGACTGTACCAAAAACGACATTTGTGAAAAAAAATTTGAAACCTCACCCAGCACTTATCATAAATTGTGTTAGTAAATGGCATTTTAACTTCGCCCTGGCATTACCCTTGAATCACCATCCAGCTGAAACAAACAAGAGGAATATAACTCATTTCCACAGGGCAAAGTGGAACTTAAATCTCGAATTTTTATTTATTCAGTCCGACTCATGAGATTGTATACGAATGAGTTTAAAGTGCAGTTTTGTAATTTCATAATAGCTAACCAAGACCAACAACCGAATACAGGCTTCAGGCTAACCAAATTTTTACTAGGCCAGTGTTATCACCACGACCCCGACGAACAAAAATATGGTATAGTCGTTAGTGTAGGTGTGTGCGCATGATCATAGATACAACTGGCTTGTGAGGCTTAATAACTGGAGTCTGTTTTAAACTTTTGAGTGGGGACACACCTAATCGTCTTTTGAGGAATGATATGTAAACCGTCTTACTGAGTTTCGAACGCGCCTTGTACTATAAGGCACTCGATACCCAAATATTCCCACAGCGGATCGGGTCCTAGAATTCGGGTGGCCCAATAGTCGTCATCACCGGTTTTCATTCGTTC